TCGAGCTTTCCGGCAGCAGTGGTGGGAGCGAGTAAATTATAATCGCGGGGCCGCACATTTATCTTTTACATAATACAGGGTGATCCACGAATAGATACCTCGCCGATTTACAATGACCTGCATTCTCAGCGGGTGATACTGAATGTTACGAAAGCAATTTTGCTCAAAAAATCTTACAGAGGAGAGAGTTTAAGGTAGCTTAATAAACGCATTGATATGGGCTGGAGGAAGAGGCTTCGCAAACAACACGCTGTTTGCTCGGTAATGTATTTATATTGTTTTAGTGGGGTGTCTATAAATGGATCGCCCTGTAATACCACGTCTGCGTTTGTGTTATAATCTGGGTTTGTGTTATAATCTGGGTTTGTGTTATAATCTGCTTTTGTGTTATAATCTGGGTTTGTGTTATAATCTGGGTTTGTGTTATAATCTGGGTTTGTGTTATAATCTGGGTTTGTGTTATAATCTGGGTTTGTGTTATAATCTGGGTTTGTGTTATAATCTGGGTTTGTGTTATAAACTGGGTTTGTGTTATAATCTGGGTTTGTGTTATAATCTGGGTTTGTGTTATAATCTGGGTTTGTGTTATAATCTGGGTTTGTGTTATAATCTGGGTTTGTGTTATAATCTGGGTTTGTGTTATAATCTGGGTTTGTGTTATAAACTGGGTTTGTGTTATAATCTGGGTTTGTGTTATAATCTGCGTTTGTGTTATAATCTGGGTTTGTGTTATAATCGAGTTACGTGCAACCGTCGGTTAATCCAGGGCGATGCGGGGAGGGGTGACCCCCGATTAAAAAAGATACGGACGATGCGAGTCGTGTACATGAGGCTGTAAACGCGTTAATCGTTCACCTACGCAGACTAGAGAATGTCGTCCTGATTTGTATTGAGTTGTTTTTTTTTGTTTTTTTGTGAAATCGGTTGCCGTGCCGAGACGTTTGCGGTCTTGCTGGCTCTATGTCACCGACCCTCGACGAGTGAGGGGCAGCTAAGAAGGTAACCAGCGTGTCCATCAAGATAGTTCATGTTCTGTCAACACAAGCACCTTCAATATGCACGGTTGCCTACGTACGGTGCGAAAGAAATTCAACATACATATATCAACATAGAAATAGGAGAGTCTAACCATGGATAATCGAGCGTTAACCTTTTTATTATGTAAAGCCTCAATGACTGAGTCTCAAAAGTTTATTTTTCAGGAAGGCACACTGCATTGGGATATTTGGCTTACTCCTTTCTAAGACAGTTTAACACGTAGGCTTTCGCGACCAATATTATCCATAAGAGAGGTTTTTGGGTGAGATCGCGTTAATATATAAATGTGTCGTTAAAACCCGCCACCATCCGACACAGCCAACTAGTCAGGGTTGTCACGTAAATAGAACATGGCAATTCGTCACTAGTACATCACACTGGTGTGTTGGAGAGCCAAGCCACAACATTTACAATCTGAGTCCTTTCTAAGACTTTTTTTTTCAATCTTCTCTAAATCCCTAAGGTGTCAAGCTCCAGCCAAGGCAATGCATCGGCAAGTTTGCACGTGGGAGGAACTCGGGGTACCCGGTGAAATCCCACTCACTGGGGGGGTCTGACACTCAAAAACGTGTGCGCAGACCGGCGAGGAATCCACGTTGATGCACCCGCGGTCATCTTCACCGCTACATTGCAGCCCACTGGATAAGGGAGTGTCACGAATCGCTTCGACGCGATCCACCAAACCCTTGCCTCCGATTTCGATTTAAAGCTTTCGGGACTGCAGGGATTCATCTTCTTGGTTCTTTCGGTAAAGTCACGTAGAAGGGAAATAATAAAATAATAAAAATAAAACATAATAAAAAAATAAAACATAATAAAATAATTCTCACGACAGCCGGACGGCTGCTTGCGTTGTGGCCGAAACGTCGTGAGAATTATTTTGTTGTGGCCGAAACGTCGTGAGAATTATTTTATTATGTTTTATTTTTGTTATTTTATTATTTCCCTTCTACGTGACTTTACCGAAAGAACCAAGAAGATGAAGACCTTGCCTCCGAGTTACTGGATCGCAGCCGTGCGCCACACGATGCTCGATCCCCTATTTGAAGCAAAGCCACAATGCCACAAACGTTCCCATGAATGTGTGCTTCATTTATTGGCATCCACACTCATTTATTATTTCGTTCATTCATCACTTGTGCAGGGACCATTTGTCGTTTGGCGCGTTGGCCAGGAGAGGTCTCACAGTTCAAGAGAACGGCAGCCTCCTCTGCGGCGGCATGAATACATCCGTGTGACAAGACCCCGTTTCCAGCCCACGAGACGTGTTATCAGCCGTAAAATATTAAATCAGGTGGACGGACCTGTAAGCAAACATCTGTGCGCACACGTCCACGTTGTGGCGTTAGATCATATTCGGGCGAATGTGTTCCAGCGAATGCACTCGCGGCGAATACGAATTTAAAAAATTGCTAAACGGAGCTTTGGCCATTTTTGGCGTGCGCTGAGCTGACTTACGGTAGTTCTTAACGCGGTTGAGCTTGGATACCTCTGATTATGTTAGCTCGGCACAAACATACCAACCATTTAATGGTTTACCCGAGGAATGTTATTCCTATTACGGTACGAAATAAGTTGAACGTACACACATTGCCATCGTGTAATTTGTTCATCGGCAAAGACAGCTTTGTAAATGGCATTGCTTGTAGAATGAATAATACAATAAGAGAGAAGGTTGTGCTTAGTCAACAAAAAAACACGAATTAGAGAAAAACCGAGGAGTGATCACACGATGGGCCTCCTGGAACGATGTTGTCCAAAAAAAATATTGTCTTTGAGCTGGCAAATTCTGAATAATAGGTCGACTTTTTGAGTCTCATCAGCAGCCTGTGGCTATGCTGCGAGAACACACTGATTCAGGAGGCCCATGGGCAGGGGTCGGCAATCAAAATAACAACAAGAGCTACGAATTCGGTAAAAAAAAAACACCTCGATATTTCAAGAGCACGTGAACACGAGACGATGGCCCTCAATAGATGACGTCACGACGCAGCCCTTCAAGAGCCGCCGCGTGCGGCGCTGGAACCGCAGTTTGACGACGCTAGCCCACGGGCCACTGGATCAAAATGTGTTTAGTTTAAGCAGCGAAATAGCCCCTTTGGCAGGTCATTTATCATATTTGTTAACCCCCGTCGAACACAACGGCACATTATGCATTTGCACAATTGCACTTGCATGGATGCCATTGAGTGTGTTCCGTGCGATGTGACCCCATTTGTCTTTAGGCTGGGGCCTACTCAGAGCAGGATTTGAAACAAACTGAACCGTGGTACTGAACTGCACAGACGACCATCACCATGCCTCATAGCGACTTAACGCTCTATATGAGTCCCGCACGTATGCGTGTTGAACTTCTTTTGCACCGTACGTAGCCAACCGTACTATTCGGAGGTGCGGGGGGGAGTGAAGGACAACCAACTGAACACAAAAATCAGATCTGAAGAAATGAGTATTCCATCGAGACTTTTAAATGTGCGTAGCTCCAGTGGCTCGCTAACATCGGAAGGAAGAGCGCTCCGGACGGCCGCGCAAGCTTGACGTGAAGTCACACGGGGCGTGACAAGTCTGTCTGCCATCCGGCGTCTTGAGTGGTGTCACACGCCCGAGTTCCAGACACTCTGGAGGCGAGAGACGGTGGATCGTGTCGAGATTTCTGAAATACCATGCCCAGGCCCACCGAGCTGCGAGGTGGTCAGGAGATGTCAGAGTTGCAGCAACACAGCTTGTGAACACCCCACCCCATCCCCCATCTGTGAGAATCCTTCGGCGTCATTACCTCGTGTGCACTGTGGGTTTTCTGCCGACAATCCCGACTTTAAAATAACAACTCACAATGGAATTGGCCTCACGTCCCAATGCAAGACCCTCCTCAGAAAGAGTCTTGAGATTCAGTGAAACTTTCGCCGATGAATAAATAGCCACATTTCTCCCTTACCCCCCCCCCCCCACCACTTCACCGCCTCCCACCGTTAATCCACAAAGGGTGCCTGACTTGTGAAACATACCAAGTTGCAGGCACGCACAAAGAGCTCCCTCCCTTTGTTCGGGCAAGTGTTTGTTGGCGAGCGCCTATTATGACGCCGGGTGTGATGGTCTGTGCTGGGTTGTCCACAGTGCTACAGGTTGAGAATCACGCAAGCATCACCATGCGTCTCAAAATGTGGTCCGAGTTGACCGAAGAGAAGCCCCGGGGCCGTGCTGACATGTGATTTTAGCCGCCGGCGTTGTGCAGTGTGGCGTCGTGTGATTATAAACACGTCCCCGCTTCACACACGCTCTCACGCATTCACACGCAAAACAATTTATCATCCGCATAGCCGTAACAGACTGTTGGGGCTAGTGATGTTAGCGAGCACCTATGAAGGCCGGCAAGGCACACGAGGGGGTGGGTGGCTGGCACCACGCCGGGCATCTTATGTCTCCCCAATTGCAATGTTTACACATCGCATCATCTGAGACTGAGTCGACCTAGGGGAGGCCCAGAACCGGCTCGGCTACTCGTCACTGATTGTTGGCCGTGAGTGAGATTCGAACTCGGGTCGCCCGGATTCGTAGCGCGCTAACCGCCTACACGACCGCTCCCCACTCAAGCATTGACGCGCCACGCATACATACACAGGGCGCACAGCACAGACAGCAAGCAAATGCATTCGAATCACACAGCTGGTTCTACGTGTCCATTAAGTAGGGGGTTTGGATGGCGAATGGAGGTGGAATTGGACAGCGGTGGCGAAACTGGTGGACGATGCGTGGTGGAGCAGGAATGGATGAGCCAGGTGGGGAGGAATTAATAAAAAACAAACGCAGCAAAACCGCCCCGGCTACAGCCACTCCAACCACAACCACATCCCTCGCATGCACATCGCCATCCTGCACCACCACCACCACCAACCCCCATTGAACCCACCCCCTGTCCCCACCCCCACACCCCCACACGCGCTTCGCACGGAGTCACGAGCAGGACTTCCCATCCGCAGCCTCATTCGGAGCTCGTCATCCATCCGAGGAGGAGCGAGAGAGACGCTTTCGCGTCGGCACCGAAATCCGCAAACAAATATCTTTGCGCTCACGTCTCGGCGGCGCACAGAGACGCACGCACGCGTGCGCACGCGTATATGGACGTATACGTCGGAGCCGTAGGCACATAGGAACGTGAGCACAGGGACGGACGGACGGCGGCGTGTGCGGCGAGACGAGAAGATCACCGGGAGCGCAATGAGCTCAAGATGTCCCGTCGAGAAGCCAGCGCTGACCAGGGCAACTATGAGCGCGGATCATCGATGCCGGTTCGTGTGGTGACTACGCAAGACTGTGCCTTTTATATATGTGTGTTTGCGTGTGTGTGGTGTGGTGAGGGTCAGGGTCCGTGTGGTGAGGGTCAGGGTCTATACGGGGGGGGGGGTTTGCTGCCCTTCGCTAGGCTGCTGCTGCCCTCGTGCCGTGCGTGTTGTGTTGGACTGCACTGCTATGGTCGTGATTTGCCTCGTGCCGGTACGGCGGCGTTGCTTGTTGTGGCACCAGCTCGTGCAGGAACGGGGCTTTGTTTGTTGCGCGTGTGCCTCTGTGCGTGTGCCTCTGTGTGTGCGTGTGCCTCTGTGTGTGTGTGTGCCTCTGTGTGTGTGTGTGCCTCTGTGTGTGTGTGTCTCTGTGTGTGTGTGTGCGTGTGCCTCTGTGTGTGTGTGTGCCTCTGTGTGTGTGTGTGCGTGTGCCTCTGTGTGTGTGTGTCTGTGTGTGTGTGTGTGCGTGTGCCTCTGTGTGTGTGTGTGCGTATGCCTCTGTGTGTGTGTGCCTCTGTGTGTGTGTGTGCCTCTGTGTGTGTGTGTGCGTGTGCCTCTGTGTGTGTGTGTGCGTGTGCCTCTGTGTGTGTGTCTCTGTGTGTGTGTGTGCGTGTGCCTCTGTGTGTGTGTGTGCCTTTGTGTGTGTGTGTGCGTATGCCTCTGTGTGTGTGTGCGTGTGCCTCTTTGTGTGTGCGTGTGCCTCTGTGTGTGTGTGTGTGCGTGTGCCTCTGTGTGTGTGTGTGCCTCTGTGTGTGTGCGTGTGCCTCTGTGTGTGTGTGCGTGGGGAGCGGTAGTGTAGCGGTTAGCGCGCTGCGCTATGAACCTGGCGACCCGGGTTCGATTCCCGCTCACGGCTAACACCGGTGACGATTATCTGAACCGGTCCTGGGCCTCCCCTAGGTCGACTCAGCCTCAAATGAGTACCTGGTGCGGTGTGTAAACATCGCCACTAGGGAGACAAAGGCGGTCGGGCGTGGTGCTGGCCACCCACCCCCCTCGTGTACCGTTCCGGCCTTCATAGGTGCTCGCTAACAGCACTTGCCCCTACAGTCTGTTCAGGCTATACGGGGGATCTTTGTCTTTGTCTTTGTGTGCGTGTGCCTCTGTGTGTGTGTGTGTGCGTGTGCCTCTGTGTGTGTGTGTGCGTGTGCCTCTGTGTGTGCCTCTGTGTGTGTGTGTGTGCGTGTGCCTCTGTGTGTGTGTGTGCCTCTGTGTGTGCGCGTGCCTCTGTGTGTGTGTGCGTGTGCCTCTGTGTGTGTGTGTGCGTGTGCCTCTGTGTGTGTGTGCGTGTGCCTCTGTGTGTGTGTGCGTGTGCCTCTGTGTGTGTGTGCGTGTGCCTCTGTGTGTGTGTGTGCGTGTGCCTCTGTGTGTGTGTGCGTGTGCCTCTGTCAACCCGTGGCACCTGGGTCTGCCCCGTGACCTCCTGCCAGCGGGCGTTCGACACTTCACGTGGCCTCAAGGTGCACATGGCCTGGCACAAGCGTCGTGGTGACGTCACCGCCACTTAGTGGCGAATGGCGGTTGTTGTTGTTGTTGTGTGCCTCTGTGTGTGTGCCTCTGTGTGCGTATGCCTCTGCGTGCGTGTGCCTCTGCGTGTGTGTGCCTCTGTGTGTGTGTGTGCCTCTGCGTGTGTGTGCCTCTGTGTGTGTGTGTGCCTCTGTGTGCGTGTGCCTCTGTGTGTGTGTGCCTCTGTGTGTGTGTGTGTGCCTCTGTGTGCGTGTGCCTCTGTGTGTGTGTGTGTGCCTGTGTGTGTGTGTGTGCCTCTGTGTGCGTGTGCCTCTGTGTGTGTGTGTGTGCCTCTGTGTGTGTGCGTGCCTCTGCGTGTGTGCGTGCCTCTGTGTGTGTGTGTGTGCCTCTGTGTGTGTGTGCCTCTGTCTGTGTGTGTGTGCCTCTGTGTGTGTGCGTGCCTCTGCGTGTGTGTGTGCCTCTGTGTGCGTGTGCCTCTGTGTGTGTGTGCTTCTGTCAGTGTTAGTGTGGGGGGTAGGCGGCTAGCGCGCTGCGCTACGAACCCGGCCACCCGAGTTCTATTCCCGCTCACGGCCACCGACACCCGGTGACGATTCTCTGAACTGGTTATGGGCCTCCCCTAGGTCGACTCAGCCTCCAGTGAGTACCTGGTGCGGATGTGTAAACATCGCCACTGGGGAGACAAAGGCGGCCGGGCGTGGTTCTGGCCGGCCACCCCCTCGTGTGCCGTGCCGGCCTTCATAGGTGCTCGCTAACAGCACTTGCCCCTACAATCTGTTAAGGCTATACGGGGGATCTTTGTTTGTGTGTGTGTGTTTGTGAAGCGGGAGCGTGGTGGCGAGCGATGCTTGCTCACGACCAATGAACACACACAGCGATGTTTATCTAAACCGGCGTTGGGCCTCCCTTCGGTTGACTCTACCTCAAATGAGTACCTGGTGCAGAATGTAAACATCGCCACTGGGGAGACAAAGGCGGCCGGGGCTGGCCGTGGTGCTGGCCACCCACCCCCTAATGTTCGTAGGTGCTCGCGAACAGCACTTGCCCTAAAACGTCTATTGAGGCTACACGGGTGACATTTGTCTTGTGTGTGTTTGCGTCAACTAATCAAAATGGTTTCACGCTTCAACACACCGGTGTGGGGGCTAAAGCAGTGAACTATTTGTCTATTGTCAACGTGACACTTTTTTTACTGATTGGCCGTGTCGGGTGGTGGAGGGTTACGACACATTTATAAATAACGCGATCTAAACCCAAAAACGTTGATTATGAATAATCAAAATGAACCGGGGAGACAAAGGCGGCCGAGCGCGGTTCTGGCCACAGCACCCCGTGACATCCTGGCGAGGTGCTCACCAATGGCACTGACCATCGTGTCCCCTGTCAAAGGCTATATCTACTGAGAAGCGATCACGAAAGTCATTTATAGCCCTTTGTAAATCCACTGCTAGATGAAGCCCTCCCAACGCCGTGGGTCATTGGGGTGAAGCGTGGGGCCAAAATGCCGAGTCAGCCATCACTCGCCACTGATGTTAGCCGTGGCCTGGAATTGAACAGAGGTGTCCGGATTCAAAGTGCAACGCGATGACCACTTCGCCACCGCTCACTATGAAGTACTGTAGATACGTTGATTCTCGTTCATAAATTCATGAGCCCCTTACGCTTGCGCATTTACAGTCGCCCGAGCTGATGTATGCTCATTATTACATGTGTAGCCCGCACGCACACACGCACATACACACCGCGAAACCATTTACAACGCGGCGACTCGATGGAGCCTTCGTACAGCAGTGGACAGATCATGCACGGTGGCGGCTGATGGTCATGGTGATGGTAATCAATCACAATATCGACGAATTACCAAAGCACTATATCGGTCCTGCCGTTGCTATTTCACGACAGAAATGCGGAGGGCTCATGCGGTGCCGATCTCGTGCCCTTAATTCTGGGCTTCATTTCTCCCTCGATATTTTACTGGCAGGCTGCTGTAGGCCGGCTTGTTGTATGAAAGACCGGAGTTAAGGCACTACCACTAGAGTATGCAAAGGTACGCTTATGTATAATACTACGATATTAGTGTACCCTATATTCCTGTAAACATATTAACAGGTACAGTGTAATACAAAATAGGAGGCGACATGGATGTGGGGTGCCACAATAATTCCGGACTGTTCCGGCTGAAAGTAAAAAGCGACTGCCGCTGTTCCGTGCCCAAATGCTGCCCGGGTGGATGCCGTTGATTGCAAATAAAACGCACGGCCAGTCGTGAAGAGTGCACCACAACCCACCACCACCACCATCACCACCCATGGTACACTGCCATTAGAATGCTGTGCAGTATGGGAACAAGCACGCATGTGCCCAAACAGAACACGATTATTGCTCTTCTTGGTTCTTTCGGTAAAGTCACGTAGAATGGAAATAATAAAATAATAAAAAATAAAACATAATAAAATAATTCTCAGGACGTTTCGGCCACAACGCAAGCAGCCGTCCTCAGGTGAAGAACAGGTCTGTCGAGAAGACAGCGTCTGCTTGCGTTGTGGCCGAAACGTCGTGAGAATTATGCTATTATTTTATTTTATTATTTCCATTCTACGTGACTTTACCGAAATAACCAAGAAGATGAATCCCTGCAGTCACGAAAGCTTTAAAACGATTATTGCTGTTTTTTTGTTATATTGTGTGTATATATATACGAGATATGGGTAAGGCAGCCAAAGGAGAGAAATGCGTGCAAGAGGACAGATACCGCGGAGATGGAGCGATGGAATCAGTTCGCGTGTAAGAGTGGGAAGGATTGTATCAGCACTGGACCGTGAGAGATGGTGACGGTGTGTGGGAGGCCTTCATCCAGCAGTGGATATAACATGGATGATGATGGCCTTCCTCTCCAAAGGCTACACTGTTGTGTGTGTGTATATATAATGAATATGCCAGGACATCGTGTGAGGTTCATTACATGATTTAGAAAGGACTGCATTATTATTTCATCTTCATACCAGTCGCCAGTGTGAATAACATTTGCACTATTATTTCAGGGGGAAGCTGCAAAGTCTTGGCAACAAAGCAAAGCGTGTTCACCGTCGGCGAAATCTCATTATACGGGTTGTCAACAAAAAAGAACGATACCGTCTATTACTCAGGAATCACAATCACGCAGCAGTTTGAGCTTGGTCACGAAAACACTGTAACAAACACGCGCTCGCTCGCTCTCTCTCTCTCTCAGCCGTGCGAGGATTTCATCTGCGGGTGTCACAGCCCCCCCGTCTAATCCTCCACATGTCCGCCGTGGTTGTTGGTGACGCACGCCGCGTCACCTCGGTCGCGATCGTTTCAAATGCTTCGGCCACGCTCAGGCTCGTGGGTTAAAGAACATCGATTGCGCGCGCAGAAGGGAACGTATTGGCGAGCGTTGCAATCACGCAGTTCAAGCTGCAGTCTCGTCAACAACATATAGAACAATATTCATTTGCGGACGACCCGTGTCGATGAAGGCCACAAACACCTCTCCGTCCTCTACCCATGCCGTGTCAAGCAAT